TATATATATATATATATATATATATATAAATAAATAAAAATTAACTACACATCAACAGAAGTTTAATTTAATAAATTTAATTTATCGATCAAGTTAATTTTATAAATTTAAATTATATAACTCACTACAAGAAAATAGAAAAATTGTGACAGACGATTCTGTCACAAATCCATCACAAATTAACATTTGTGACGGAATTGTGACGGAAAAATGGACGTCCCAGAACCTGGGGTCATAAACTCATTGTGACGGATTTCAATTCCGTCACAAAATTATTGTGACGACTATAGACATTGAAATTTTGCGGACTGTACAAGACGTGTTCAATTCGAATTGGGACTCTGGAAGGTGTGTTCAGTTTCAATTAGAATTCTTGGAGGCTACTCAACCCTAAACCCTAGTTTATGCCTATATAAAGGGTACTTATAAATTCCCTTAAAAGACATCTCAAATTATCCCATAAACTCTTGGGTAATTTTAAAGATCAAGATCTCGAATATTCCGCAAATTGATGGAGTATTCATATAGAGGTCAAATCTAAATCATCCTAGTTCGAGAAATACGCCACTAATGGCCCTCGAATCATGGATAAATCTTAGGAGAGTAGAATCAAGGGAGGAACAGAATTGTACCCGCATATTTATCAATAAAGTTATGTTTCTTCAGATTTTATTTGTGTGGTTTATTTATATTCCATATGTTTAAAATTTGTTGCAAACAACGGCATAGTGACAGACCTGACGGTGACAATACAAAATCCTCGTATTTGTCTTAAATTCCGTCACAAATTTGAGACCGAATTTTTGACCGAATATTCCACTACAAAATAGTGACGGAATAGTTTCTGTAACAAATTTCTAAATATATTCACAATATTTGTAACGGAATATTTCGTTACAAGTAAATTGTGATGGAATATTTTGTCACAAAATTGCTCTCTTGTTGATATTAGTAACAAATGTAGAATTAATTGTGACAGATTAAATCCGTCACAAATTTGATTTTAATTTAATAAATAATAATTGCTATATATAGTAGTGGACAATTATTTATATTTATATATATATATATATATATATATATAGTAAATTAGTCAAAAATATAAAAATAATTAACCACCATGATATAACAAACATAATATTAGATTTATAATACAAAATTAAGAAGTTAAAACATGTCAAAGCACAACTTCAATAAGCAAAAGTGGACAAATATTTAAACACATAAACATTTGGTCATTTCCTATTAAGGAGAAGGATTACTAGATGAGCGTGAGGATAACGCCATCTCGCTCATCATGCGAGACCATCGTTCCTCCATAGACTTGAATCGATCATCACTTTGTTGCCTCAAACGCGAGACCTCGTGCTCTACTCGTTGTTGCACCTCTGCCTCTAAACGTTCTTGGAGAATTCTCTCTTGATTTTCTCTCATATGCAACACTTCTTCCTCAAGTAGTTTAATGCGCTCTTCAGCAACATCATCAGACACAGCATATAAATTGCGCGAAGTGACAGAATTTTGATCTTGATACAACGCCAAACCTTGAGAGCCTAAACCATACACACGTCATTTTTTTTATCCACCCACAACATCAAAGTATAAGCGATTTATATCAAGTTCTTGAACTTCTTGTGAATCATCTGAGGAGCTAGAAATAGCCGCAGCTAAGACAAATGCACCCAAAAGACAGCGCAAACTCTTTAAACAGAACAAAATCTGCCCCCAATAAGGCATAAAATCTATAAAATAAAAAAAAGGCACAAAATTTGCTTCAAATTGCATTAATAACTGTCCAAATAACTACTCAACATTTGATAAAAAAAAAAGTATGATAAAAATCTGCACAAAAAAACAGCACAAAATCTACCCAAAAACAGCACAAAATCTATCAAAAAAGGCACAAAATCTACTTCAAAATTGCATTAAAAACTGCTCAAATAACTACAAAACATATGGTCAAAACTATGATAAAAATATGCTCAAATTTGCACCAAAAACAGCACAAAGAGTTGCCACAAAATCTGCCACAAAAAAAGGCACAAAATCTGCTTCAAAATTGCATTAAAAAATTTCCCAAATAACTGCACAACATCTGATCATAACTATGATAAAAAAGCTACTCAAATCTGAACCAAAAACAGCACAAAGAGCTGCCCCAAAAATTTGCTCAATAGCAACACAAACAATTATAGCAAATCTTCTTAATAGCAACACACACAACTGCATAAAATCTACCTTTTTCTTCTTTAAAAGCTTCACAAAATAAGGATAAGTCCTACAATGTTTGGTTAAAGAAAAGCAGCACACACAACCTACACTAATGCATTTAGACTTGGCATCAACAAAGCTTCCATCCTTTCTTTTATGCAACTTCTTAAATATATCCCACGAATTTGGTGGACGACGTAGTTCTGCTGCCTAAAAAACAGAGTTTAATAGTAAAATAGGAGATAAGATTAGAAATATATTATAGAAAGTGTTAAATTTGGTACCAATTTTATAGTATGCTCCACTGTTGATCTAGAACCACCGGTATGCTTGCTTGGACCAGTGCCTAGTCCACCAGTCTCACTACATCGATTTCGAGTGGCGATACGAGATTTATCCATCCATTCATCAGAGGCCCAATGCGTCTTCCAACTTCTCCAAATATCCTCCAAAACAAATTGGGTTTGACTGTACCTTTTCGCCAAATATACATTTTCTTGGAGTATAAAGTGGATGCCACCTTATTCCATGTACGTTCCATTATAGAATTCTCAGTAGGATTCCACTGATATGATTTCTGGAAAAAAATTACTTAGTGAAATAAACACATAGAGACATATATTAAATAAATTACTTATAAATTTTAAATATAAAGCAATAGTTACCAAAAATTCATGCCAATAAAATTTACGAGTTGATTGACTGACATCCTTCCATGAGTAGCCAGTAGCATCTTGTCTTTCCTTGAACGTTTATGTGATGGTCTTCGGGATAGAATGACCATTAGGAACGAATCTGAAATAAAATTAAAAATAAATAACACATTTCATAATACTTATATTAGAAAAAATTAGATCAAGTATACAAAAATATCCTTTCTTACATTTCCGCTACAACTGAGATGACCAACCGAACAGATGTTGATGAGCAACTAGGAGACCCATTAGAGACATCTGGAGTACTAGGAGTGGTTGGAGTACAAGGACCAGTAGGAGAACCAGCATTTGATGATGGCATATCACTCATATTCTTAAATTTTAATTACCTAGACCTTGTACATTGCAGCAATAAAGTTCTTGATAAAAAAAATCAACTAGCATTCAAATTATAGTAGTTCATTATGTAGATATATAATATAAGATGCTCAATACTAATTACAAGATATAATAACAAAACTAAGAAAATGAAGATCACTTGTAGCATAAAACAGTACATTCAACTTTAGATTAATAGAGAAACTAAATTTAAAAACTTCAAGTGACATTAATCTCTACACTTTCTTCTCTTTTTGTTTTGATGTTCATATTCTTGTTTCCCTTCCTCATTGTCATCCTCATCATCATCACCATCCTCATCCTCATCCTCAGTCTCATCCTCATCATCATCCTCCTCCTCCTCCTCCTCCTCCCCATCATCAGCATCATCCTCCTCATCATCATCATTGTCATTATCCTCATCATTGTCTTCCATCTCCCTCTCTTCCTCTTCCCTCTCTCCCTCCTCCTCCTCCATGTCAATAAAAACACCATCTGGATCATTCAATATATAAGGTGTTTCATCTTCACAAATATCAATTTCATGCATTTGACTATTATCCTCTTAAAAAGCTAGATCATCCAGTGTATGAGGTTTTTCTACTATGTTTGGAACATCTACAATTGAACGTGCCTTTATCTGACAAACAGCTAACCAATCATTATGTGTCCTCTTTACTGAAGGATAGGTTTCAAAATACACCTGAGAAGCTTGCACAGCCATAATAAATGGCTCATATTTATTAAAAGTTCTTCTTCTGTTAACATCAACAAGATTATATTGTGGATGTACTCTTGTACCATGTTTTGGTGTTGGATCAAACTAAGAACATTTAAATAATACGGTTCACTTAAATGGTAATGCATAATACTCTAGCTGCAGAATTTCTGTCAATATACCATACTAATCGATCTCATCTGCACTGTGACTAGAGCCCTTAATGCATATACCACTATTCATTGTAGATTTATTTGAACCGTATTCTTCAGTGTGAAATTTGTAACCATTTACAACATATCCATTAAAGGGTTGAACCTTATGCAATGGCCCTTCTGCAAGATCTTTCATGAATTGATTGGTAATGCC